TTATAGGAATATTTTATTTTACACAAACGGTCAGAACTATTGATATTATTGAGTGTTGGAATTTTATTTTTTATTCATAATACTTCCATTATTTTTAGCCTTTTTACAGGTGGATGAGGCTATTATATTTGTATTATCAACGAGTATGTTGTGGATAGAGTTTAGTAGGTCTCCATCTGTCTTTAAATGAGGCCTAATTGAACTATGTTCAGAGAGATAAAACGTGAGTCTTCTTCTTAGGCATGTTGTAGTATATCCAGTATAATTATTTATGAATTCGAATTGATAAGGAACACAGTTCCTTAAAAGACATGTAAATTCATAAATAATATTAGTTCCCTATAATTTGGATCTTGCAGGCGAGTTAATGACATAGAAAACATCCGGGCTATTTCTACATAATTTATGTCAGAAAAAGAAGAAAATTATAAGAACACAAGAAAAATTAAATAAAAAAAGCTTAACTGCAGTACCTTGTCAGTTGTTTTTGATGAAGCTTGTATATATATATATATATATATATATATATATATATTGTAAAAAGAGGGAATGCTTACTGGGTCTGAATGTTAATTGACTCTAGTTTTCTTGAAATTCATTTTTCCTCGTCCATTCTTTATATTAATTTAATTTACACGTTTATATATTATTTATATCCCATAAAATAAATGTGATAAGGCTGGGACGAAACCTGTTGTTCTTTTTTAGCTTTTTTAAAATGCCATATAAATTTTCCTTATTCCTAGCTATCGTTAAATTTTGTACCATAAAAAACTTATTTAAATATATATATATATATATATATATATATATATATATATATATATATATATATTTATTTACATTATTACAACTGTTATCCTGGTCTACATTGCCATATTCACAACTTTTCTGCCGTTGTACACCCCATGTATATGTGTGTGTGTGTGTAGTTGATAGATGAAGTACTAGTTTACTCCAGGATGTTATTTAGTTATAATGATATTAGAACATTTGGTACTACTATAGCGTGAGGTTTACCAAAATATATCGTGCCCCAATGTCATGGCTGTCATACAATTTCTGCAACCGCATCACCCCATACACCAGGCTGCAGCCACCTTAATTACTATGTGTGGGGTGAAGTTGTGCGAGAGACCAGCAAAATTCCTTGTAACACAAAAGATCAACTGCACGCAAGGATTATGGCAGCATTCACCAACTTAAACAGGGAGACCGTCCAGTAGTGATGCATGAGATTACAAAGTCATCTGGAGGCCGTGGTTGAAGCCAATGGCAGTTTGATTGAATAAAGTTATTAGGAGCTACTAGAGCGTGAGGTCTACCACAATATGTCGTGCCCCTCCACTCATGTGGCCATCAGGTCAGGTGAGGTCTAATATGGATATTTATATCGGTCTCCCATTTTCTAAATACGTGAAACAGGAGGTAGACCTTACGCTATATTAGCACCTAACATTTTCTTAGCATTGTCAAGTAATGCGAAAGTACTAGATATATGGATGGATGACCGTCTATTAGGGCGGTTAGATAATCCCTGTAGCAGACGCATGCTCAGGCAAATTTGTGTTTGTTCAGCACCCACAGACTCCACCTGAGGTTTATACAGCAACTATGCTGAGCAGACCTTAGTTACAGTTGCTGGGAGATGGCGCGTTATCGAGTGTGACCAAGAGTCTGAAAAAAGCTAGCACGATCAAATCCTCGGTCACGATGCGATCGTGCTAGCACAAACATCAATGGCTGCCAAAGGGTTCCGTCTTCTCCAATTTCATTAACAAGGTTTAGGCCAAATCGTGGTATGGTTTTTAGGCACTCTCAAAAGGTGCCACACGCCTCTGAGATCGCCTACTCCAAACCGATAACATCAAGAAGTGATTTTACTGACAAAACCACCAAGGTGAGATTCGAACCTGGGCTTCATGGTCAGAAAGCGAACGTTTCAACCACTCCTGCCTATTACTCTCTCTCTTTTTATATATATATATATATATATATATATATATATATATATATATATATATATATATATATATATATATATATATATATATATATATATATATATATATAGTATTGCTTTTGTACAATTTTAAGTTTGAACTATGAATCAGCGTCCTTCCCATGAACATCTGTATATTCTTTTAAAATAAACTATATCTTGTGCCCGACGAGTTGGGTAACCAACGAAACTTAAGTCACACATCAAAAGTACGTATATATATATATATATATATATATATATATATATATATCTTAGCTCTGTCTAGCCACATCGAGCACTATTATGTCTACATTTCTTGGCAAAATTTGGTAATTATTTATTTGCTTTCCTGTGTATGCACGCCAGCACCCGCGGATACGGTTGCTAATATCTAGTTATTTCATTTACCTAACCTTATACCTATATATAGATATAGAGATATGTATTAAAGAATATTAATCACACACAACATCTAAACCCGTTCCATATGCAGTGTCCCTTTAGGATGTTGGCAATCACAGCTCGCTACAATTCCCTGTTCCAACATCTCAGCTGGGATACTGTGAATTTCATCTTAAATTCTCTGTTTTAACTCATCCAGAGTTCTTGGTCGAGTTGTGTATCCCAGCTGAGATGTTGCAGCAATCAATGAGGAATCTCAACAGCAAATTTCAAGAATGCATTCGTACAGGATGACGCCATCTACAGTACGTAATTTAAAAAAAAAAAAATGAAAATTCCATTATTGTTTCTTAAATGACTTGTTTTAAGGTTTCAATTACTATCAATAAAATATTTTTCCCATGACTCTTGGTTTTATTGGATTGTTAAAAAGTTCCCGTTTTTTTTGGTCACCCTATACTTAATATAAGGAAGAGGCAGCTGACGTTTCTGGGACAAAATGAGGAAGGAGGGCCTGGAGAATCTGATACTCATGAGACGAATAGAGGGAAAGAGAGACAAGGGAAAACAACGCGTGACATACCTGGCTGGATGACAGAACGTGGTCTGGGGGAGGAAGCAGAGGGAAGGAACTTGTTGAGAGCTGCAAGTGATAGAGGGAGGTGGAGAGCCATGATCGTCTATGTCCTGATAGGACATGGCACATAAAAAGAAAAATAGAATAAATTTATTTTATTTTCCTCATTGACCCGCCTCCCTAGAAACTTTTTCAGTTTTGCTGTTTATGACTAATTTATTTTTGTATGTTTATTTTTTTCCAAAGAATCTTTCTGAAGAATTGTTGGACGAAAAATGTTCCTTTTAACGAGAAAAAAAATGCGACCCGTCATTTTAAAAACAATATATAAATTCTGTGGTATAATTTCTTTTTCAAATATATATAGCCTCATGACTTAGTGGATAAAAGCGTTGGTTGAAGTAATCCATTGACTTAACCCAAAAGGGTTACCAAAGGGAAGTAAGTGAAACTGAGATATGATGAAAAGGCATGGCACGTGGAAGTAGAACAAACCTACCACAGTGGACGAAATAAAGGGTTCGTTTGGAAATTTTAACGTGTATGACCTGAAGAAAACCAGAGTGTACAACGGCCGAAACGTCGTGTATATGACAATAAAGTTGTGGACAATAGTCCGAATAGTGTAAATAGTTACAATATCACACACACACACACACACACACACACACACACACACACACACACACATATATATATATATATATATATATATATATATATATATATATATATATACTTATTTAGATGCACTTTACTTTCTGCACGTATCTATCGCACTCAGCCACTTGATTCCATCTCTTAATTCTTCGAATGTAGGATTTGGAAAATGGTTATCGATTTAGATATCCCTACACCTCGGTGATTTGTTTACTGGACCCAAGAAGACTTTGCTTGCTAATCAGGCTCGTCTCGTCTACTCATCAATTCCGACAAGTAGACCCATCGCCGTCTCTTTTAAAGCATCATACAATCGTCCAGCCTTTCCTCGCCATCCTGCTGGGTAAATCCCTGCTCTCACCCACCCATTAAGTAACCTCCAAACGAAACACGTAGATTCCATCAACGCAACAGACAGCTTAGCTTAACTTTCATGGCTCCGATTAAAATGTCGATGCTTTAAATTTGTTATGTCTGTCTTTCCGACGCCATAAAAGGCTTGCTATCACTTTCTGCCAAGTGTTGTTTTTTTTTTTTTTTCGTTTTTCGTTTTTTTTTTCATTTCTTCTTGCGTTTTCCATTTGGGATTTAAGAAAATGGTTTTATTTTTTCGTCTTATTTTTATTTTCGGAATGATTCTTTTTCAAAATTATTTTTTTTTAAAATCATGTCATCATTTCTATTCTATTTTTGTTGTTCTTCGTTTCGATCTTTCGATTTTTGTTAATTATCGATTATAAAAAATAACGGCTATTAATATTATATTAATAAAACAAGATTGATATACTACTAATAATTAGCTAGCAAGTATGATTCGTTTACGTTACAGTGATTTAATAATGACTATTTAATACTACGCTCCTTACTTTTCAACCCTTGACCATTCCCAGGTAGTCATAAGAAAAATCGCTCTTTAAAATACTGAAAAGTTTTCCTTCTTTTTTTTTTTAAATCAGAATCGCTCCAAACAAGGCAGTCATGCCACTAAAACTCAAGGGGTTATTTGGTGTGATAGAATTAGAAATATTAATGATGAACAGAAAGAGAAGAGAGTAAGTAGGTGGACAGTAGATTGCGTTTGACATTGCATTTACAATTTTGGAGATTTTGGATTGAAAGCATGGAGTTCCACGAGCCAGAAGTGCGAGAGAAGAAACTGTTAGCATAGAACTTACGGCTACATCTAGCCAGCTCATCTGTAAAGTGATGAGATCTCGACGCCAGTCTAGTGTTGCGCTTAAATTCAAAGACTCTAGGTAAGATAGCAAAGAAATGCCCTAGACAGATCGTTAGGTCACGAAACTTGATTTAAACCAAACTGCAAACTGTCTGCTTTTATCTAAGATGACACCCAGCGAATCCTTCTCCGTGTCGCAGTCTCTTTTTGTCCATGTCCCTTTCTCTCTCTTTCTCTCTCTCTCTGTTATACTCTCTGTCTCTCTCTCTTTATGTTTACTCTCTATGTCCCTCTCTCTCTCTTTGTTATACTCTCTGTCCCTCTCTCTTTATGTTTACTCTCTATGTCCCTCTCTCTCTCTCTTTATGTTTACTCTCTATGTCCCTCTCTCTCTGTTATACTCCCTGTCCCTCTCTCTTTATGTTTACTCTCTATGTCTCTCTCTCTCTCTCTTTTATACTCTCTGTCCCTCTCTCTTTATGTTTACTCTCTATGTCCCTCTCCTTCTCTGTTATACTCTCTGTCCCTCTCTCTTTATGTTTACTCTCTATGTCCCTCTCTCTTTATGTTTCCCTCTTGGACGCTCAACATTGTCTGGGTTACCTCAGTCGGTAACAAATTCTCGAAGATAAGATTTAAAAGAATAAAGAAAATTTTCAATTTCAAAATTTCAATTCCTGTGCGAATTTGTCCTCAGCAGATCGCTAGGTCACGAAACTGGATCTAACCCATAACTGCAAACCACAGCCTTTATCTAAGATGACCCCCCCCCACTATCCCTGATTGTGTTGCACTTCGTTTTTATCTCTCGCTGCCTCTCTTTTTTTCTCTTTCTGTTTTACCCAATATTTCCTTCTCTCTTTTTGTTTCCTCTGTCAGTATCTGTGATACGAAGCCTGAAACTCGCCATACATAGTGATTTTCTAAGCCCGGCTTAGGTGTGGCACAAGGCCGAAAGTATGGGGCACCCAGTGAGGATCGAACTCACTACTCAGTCGTAATTGATCTAGCAAGACAAGCTTTCTAACCATTACACCACGTCGAGGTGTCCAACTCGCCGTACATATGTACAAGCCTATTAACATGTAGATAATAATAATAATAATAATAATAACAACAACTAATTTTCATCCGTGAAAATTTCATGGTTTTCCAGTTTTAAATTTCTGCTGGATCTTAATTCTTCAGTTAATAACTAAATAGGCCTATGGCGAGTTCTATGACAATAAATTATCGATAGAAATTCCCCTATCGCGTCGTTAAATATTTGAGCTTTAACAAAATTTCAATAACAATCATAAATATGAATGGTGGTCGTTATTTTAAGAAGTAAGGGGGTACAAATGAAAAGACTCGAAATTTATGACAATTTTCATTTCACTGAAACGTACGTTAAACACTTCCCTTCGTTCTTTCATTTTCTTATTTAAAAAAGAAACTATCAAAATACATGGATCTTGAAGTGGAAATCTCAAAGCACATGAGGACATCAATAATTCCTGTTGTGGTTGGAGCTCTCGGATTGATTGAAAAAGGTTCCAATAGAATCATTGAAGGGATTCCTGGTAGTGCATGGCTTAAAGAAATACAAAAATCTGTACTCACGAGTACAGCTCCTGCATTACTAAGAGATTTATGTAAAATGTGTGTAATCTTAGTAGTTTTTATTTGTTTCAATTTTAAAAAAAAATGCTCAGTGAAAATGTCATTAAACCATTTTTGACCTTAGGTCCCTGTTTGGGACCCGAAAGGAAATGAAAATACAACAGAATCCAAAGGAAATACTACTACTACTACTAATAATAATAATAATAATCAGATATGGACGAACAGAAAACACATCGGTGGCTGAGGAGCCCCGGGATGATAGCTGAGACAAAAGGCTTAATTATAGCAGCTCAAGACCAAAGCCTCGCACCCAGATCCTATTACTGTCACATAATCAAAGATGGAAGTAACTCAAAATGCAGGATATGCGGAAAAAGTGATGAAACTATCGACCATATTATCTCTGGATGACCGGAATTAGCAAAAACTGAATCTACCCACAGATATAACAAGGTAGAGACATATGTGCACTGGAAGATATTTAAGAAGCACGAAATGAAAACCACTGAGAGATGGTATGTGCACCAACCAGACACAGTTACCCAAAATAACGATGTAACTATCCTCTGGGACATGCCAATTCAAATTGACAGGGAAATAACAAAAAACAGACCTGATATTATCATAAAAGACAAGAAATTCAGGAAGTGTATGCTTATTGACATAGCAGTACAATCTGAGAGAAACACTTCCATGAAAATTATCGAGAAATTATCCAAATACAAGGACCTAGAGATAGATTAACAGGATATGGAGAATGAAGACTGAAACTGTAATCGGATCTCTGGGACTTGTGAGAAAAGGAATGTACAATTTTACTAAGAGTATCCAAGGTAACAACATACAAGTTGCCCAGAAGATCGCCCTTCTAGGAACATCCCATATACTTAGAAAATGGCTAACAATTAAATGACAATTATCCTATAGGAGTCCTCTTTTCTCCTTTCCTCCCTCGCCTTGATTTTTCTATTTATTTCCCACCTAACCTTATCTAGGTTTCTAAGTTAGAAAACAAATGATTCCAATTCATAAGAAACTGAACGGACAGATTCTACACTATGATCGTAGAAAGAAAAGCGTAATAGTTATATATACGCACAGAATAATAGTAGAGATTCAATGACAACAACAACAACAACAACAACAACAATAATAATAATAATAATAATAATAATAATAAAATATGGCACAATTTCAGCGACCATCAACTGATTAGCGACCAGTCAGTGCTTTAACGTTTGGCAAGAGTCAAGATGAAAATAAAGATTAGCTTTGATTAAGCATTCTTGTGTCGACATTACGAAAAGAATAAAAAAGATCAAGAATTTGATGGTTTTTGCGTGAAACTTAGTGATTTAGGTTTGTTTATATAGAACAAAAGACAAAACATAAAAACCGTCGACCAATCACTTATTGAAAGCGCGATTATTTGGTGGCGGAGGTTGGCTATGTCAGGCTGAATAAATGGCACTTGTTTGGGCAAATATATATGGAAAAATAGAGAGTGTGAAGACGCACGCACGCACACAGACACACACACACAGACACACACACACACACAGACGCTATCTCTCTCTCTCTCTCCCTCTCTCTCTCTCTCTCTCTCTCTCTATATATATATATATATATATATATATATATATATATATATATATATATATATATATATAATGTGTGTTAGTGCAAAGCGTGGACATATGTACAGAAAACAGGTAATAACAAACAACACGCCCCACCACCCAGGCACACTTTGTTTTATTGCCACCAGCACTCAATGTCCGAAAGATTTTTAGCATCCACTCAGAGGTAAGTATGTAGGTCAGTATCCACATAAGAATAAAATTGACAAGCCTTGTTATCAGGAAGTAAGAATCTATCTAGTATATGTACATGAATTCGTGTATTATATATATATATATATATATATATATATGTGTGTGTGTGTATTTATGTGTGTATGAGTATTTGTGTGTAGAAATAATCAGACAACGTTGAAAACGTCTCATAATCTACACTTTTGTCTCGGATATTTGTATAAATCCTACAGTCATATGTGTGTGTGTGTGTGCTGCGCAGGCGTGACGTGTGTGTACGAAGGATATATATATATATATATATATATATATATATATATATATATATATATAACTTGTGCTTTGCTATAGTTATTGATATATATATTTTTTTACTAAATATCATATTAAGCATATTACACTGACAAGAAAAATGCGCTTGTGTGTTTATTTAAGGTAGGAATGTTGGAAATGATAAAAAAGATAGAAAAAATTTTGAATCTTGTGTTTGGACATTATTGTGATGGCATATTGGTATTCCGAAAAACAACTTATATCCAAGTATATATACTGTATATATGTTTTTGTGTATCTAGAGATACAACAATTAGGACTAATAGATAAAAATTATATATATATATATATATATATATATATATATATATATATATATATGACGTTTAAAGAAAAACGATAAATACAAAATGATGCCATAGAAATTCAATCGGACTTACAACTATATAAACAGCTTTGTAAATGGCTAAATAGATAGATGTATCAAAAAAGTAAAAAATTTCATCGCTATCTTAGTATTAACGTCATCACAAATGAACCTAGGTTATTTGGCCACCAGCATGCACTCATAGAACTGCCAAGTCTCGTTCTTTCTTCTTTGCTCGCACGAATGACAGGCCTTGTTTGCGCTTAATAACACGTTGTCAAATAAAAAAAGAAATTTACTTGATATGTCCAGACAGAAGTTCGTGCACGTTTTAGTTGATAGTCGAAGATTTATCTTCTCCTAAGTAGCTATAAGGTATAGGGTCAGATTCAGAGGGAAAATAGTTTGTTAGTAAAAAGACGGGTTAAGACTTGAGGAAAAGCAGGGACTGCTCAGGGAAAGGATGGGCTGGTTAAATGTTAAGTGTGTTTGTGATTTTTTAGTCATTGTACACTCAATATTAAGCCCGAGGGCCACTTAAGGTAGAGGGGTTGTTTGAAGGACGTAAGAATTTGTAGATTGTGAGGATATATAGGATAGATAACGTTTGTCCCTTAGACGAAGAAATGAACACAGAAAAACAAAGCAAAAAGTGGAAAAAGAATTATAGTGGCTATTATTATTATTATTATTATTATTGTTGTTGTTGTCGGCTGAGAGAACAGAAGGCCAACAAAGGGACGCAGTGGTATAGATATACATTGGCCGCCTCTGAGAGAGGTGCACCGGGCGCATGCAACACAGTCTTATCAACTAGATTTTACTTTTTTTTATATTTTAGTAAGCCTACGAACTTCCCAGCCGCACTTCGTATAGTACGACCCGTGATATTTTGTCCGAATTTTAACCTTTCAGAAAAATTGTATCTGGGCATAGTGCAACAGGCCACCGAATAATTCCTTTTTAATCACTTCAAAAAAAAAAAAAAATTACCTGCGTGATACACGCGTAGGCGATCATGTATCTTTCGATACATGACTGACGAGGCAGATTTTTTCCCGCAGTAGGTTGCCATTTCTTTCTGTGGTAGATCAGTTGCCATCCAAGGCTATAGAACCCGGTCTGTCCTGCTATATATCCATAGCTTGGGGAGGGGGAGAAGAAGAGGATTCATACATTTCCCAAGGGTATTAGCACGTAAGTGAATTTGACTGGAATTTGAATTCGGCTCTCCGATTCCTCAATCCCAGCCACTATTCAATACCCCACCTCTCTCTCTATCTATCTATCTATCTATCTATCTATCTATCTATCTATCTATATATATATATATATATATATATATATGTATAAAGAAAGAACAGTAAGATATATAATCCAGTGTTCTCATAGATATTTTTATTTTTACAAAATAGTGCTCAATGTAAATTTACAGAGCATTATTATTATAAATAAATTGATTTAAAATATGTTTTTTGCACTACACAGTTCTAACCATGTTTCAAAAATTGAAGGTCCTAATTTAATTTTGTAATTAAATTAAAGACATTAGTTCCATTTCATCCTCAAGCGAATTTATATATATATATATATATATATATATATATATATATATATATATATATATATATATTGTCTTTCATACCGTAAAAACGTTAAAATTTCCCTTTCTCTCTACTGTGCTACGATAGCTTGGGGGATGAAACTCTGACTGATGCCAAATAGGTCGGGTTTCGGTTCCGGTTTGAAACAATTTGATGAGCTGCGAAAGCAGCCTGTTTGTGGATGACTATATTTTCTGTTTATATGTTATTTTTAAAGATGCAAATATTTAAGTAAATGCTCCGTTTATAATAAACAGTATTAACTACATTTACCGGCCTGAATGTCCGAGAAATTTTATAGAAAATACGTATTGTCCGATAAGAATCGAACCTATACAGAATACTATACAGAACCGTCATATAGCCTGACGTGCTATACCATTCAGCTACAGAGGAAGCGTCTGGTTAGCAAAGTCAAATTACTGTTTTCAAACAACAAATTTCCTATCCAGCCGCTTGTTAGTTTAATGTTTTGGAAGATATCATTTCTGTGCGTTGGATTCAGTTTTTTATAACGGCTAACTTATATCGAGGGGGGGGGCATTCTTTATCATAATTAAGAAGACATGTGTTAATGCTACTGAGTTTCTATATAGAAAAGTAGTAAATTTATGTGTTATGGAATCAATAAATACATCAAGAAATGGAATTTGATTATTAATATTAAGTTCTAGTGTAAATTTGACGACGGAGTGACTTTCAAATTTGGTTTTTAGTTGTGTAATTTCATCACTATTTTTAGCCATCTATGTATCTTACATATGCAGGGAATTTATTAGTGCCATTAAGTATTTTATTTTCGAAATTTGCCATATAATAATTAGAAAACAAATTATAAAGTCACAGAACCGCATCACGAATTTACGAACTGCGTCTGTTATTCTGCGACCGTTATCGTCGCATAGTAATCTTCTATGTCAACATAACAGAATATCATCTTTGATGGTGAATATCTTTGTTTAAATGTCCGTATAACCACTCTGAAGATGGCTCATGTTAGTCGAAAGCTTAGCTCAAGGAACAGCATAATAAAAATATCCAAATGTTGGACAAATTTTGTCTTTACTTTCTTCCGAAATTAAAGCAAATATACGAAGCTTAGAACGGCTCCTGATCAAACATAATAGACATTCGTTGTCTGTTATATTTAACAATATCTGTTATATATATATATATATATATATATATATATATAATAATAATGTATGCCATTTTCTTCGAATATATAGGGGGTGCTATTCAAATTTTCGGGGAATTTGAACAGGGCGCTCATACTAATGTAGGGCAGCCATTTTACGCTACCCTTTGTGAGCAGTTTTCTTGTGGCTCAGCATGCTAGCTTACGTCGGTGTAAACTAAATTTTAGGCTAACTAAATTGCCATAAAGTTATGTGTGTAGTGTACTGCTCACCGGCACGGAAAACGGATTCGGTGGTCTGAGTTCAAATTCTGTCTAATCCTATTGTGTTTACTTTCGCAAAAAGATACACTTAGCGAAGGTATGAATCAATCTCCTCTCTCTTCTGCCCCCAACTATGGGCTAAATATCTTTTAACGAAATCTTTGTCTTCGTCATTTCACTATCGTAATCATTGTTATCACAAGCAAAACAACTTTTTGTATAGATATGTTTTTTTCAGCTATTGAAAAATTATAGAAAAAAAAAACGATATATGGTTCAGTCAAGAAACATTAAAATTTTCCTTAGCTTACACGAGTACTAAATACGAAATCATAGAAAATAAATATGATATTACTATGAAGAAACACTCCCAATCACGAATTCGATAAACTAAACTAAAATGAAGAAAATAAAAAAAAAATAACTGTGAATGTCTGATTGATTGCTTTCTCATAAACAAGCCAATAACGCGACGCGCGGTTTACATATAAAGAGGTTTAAATTTAACGAGGAAATTCCGATGACGGGCAAGCGATTAAATATTCTTTTTCTTATGATTTCTCTTTTTAGTAATGAGAACAAGACAAATGCAATTCTATTAAAACCGCGGATGGGCAAGTCAAAAGATATGTTTTCATGATTTTCGTTGTTAAATTGTAACAATGTAAATGTTGATTATAACGAGGCTTTTTTTTTTCTGGAGAAGAAAACTACTTGAATTACTAGCCTGTATGCTGTAACGGAACGTTCAGCGTTCATATTAGTTCGCGCCAGAAAAGCGGGAAGAAAGTGTGCCACACAAGTTACCTTCGATCGCGAATGAAAGCCGGAGGTTTGAAGATGATCAGATACCGTTGTAGTTCCGATCGTAAACGATACCGACCATCAATCCGTTGTCATTCACTACCATTATCCGGCGGCTAGTCTTGGGAGAGGGGAACAGAGTTCGATTATGTATGTATGTGTGTGTGAGAGAGAGAGAGAGAGAGAGAGAGAGAGAGAGAGAGAGGGAGAGAGAGAGTCTGATTACAAATCAGAACCTTGAAGGAATTGGCATAGTGGAACCTTGCGGCTTAATTTGACTCAAGGGTCCGGCTCAAGATACGAGCTATGAATTGGAGATGACAAAAATCAAGCAAGTAAAGTAATTTAAATATCTGGGAAGTGATTCACCAGTAGAAGAAAAATATGACACCGAAATCCGAAGGCGCATTGAAATAGCAAAAAATAGCTCCCAAAATCTAAATAAAACATTAGGAAATAGGAACGTTTTGTTAGAAACAAGGATTTATGATTTTTACGGTTTATCAACCCTTTGCTGGTTATTTAAAGCCCGGAAATATTTTTAGATTGTAAGAATTTTTGTTTTTATTTTTTAGATATAATAATAATTTAATGATACAAGTTTTTACTAATTAACCTATAGTTGGGGGGAGGAAGGTGGATTTATACCTAATCGGAATTTGATAACGCAAACAAGAAATTATAATGCGGATATAAAGTGGGGGACCAATTCTTTATTACAATTATTATATAAACTGATCCTTCACTTTGTGGTCACAGTACTGTCTATTCGTTTATATTTCAGAAAACGTAAAGTCATGCCTGTGGAGCTCATCAGTATTTCACGATTGATTCGTTTTCTACGGCTTATCAACCCTTTGCAGGTTATTTAAAGCCAGAAAATATTTTTAGATTGTAAGGATTATTTTAATGGTGAGGAGTTAATAATGATTAGGTGATACAAATTTTACTAATTAACCCATAGCTGGGGGAGAAGAGCTGTATTCTGACCTTTCCTAAAGGTATTTGCGCTTAATGATTATAACAAGTTAGTCAGCTATGTATCATGTGTGATATACGCTTAGGCGATCATGTATCGTTCGATACATGACTGCCGAGGCAGATCTTTTTCCCGCAGTAGGTTGCCATTTCTTTCTGCGGTAGACCAGTTGCCATCCAAGGCTATAGAACCCAGTCTGTCCTGCTATTTACCCAGCAGAAGAGAAGAAGAGCATTCATACATTTCCCAACGGTATTAGCACGTAAATGAATGTAATGGATCCGACTGGAATTCGAACTCGGCCCTCCGATTCCTCAATCCGAGCCGCTATCCATTACTCCCTCCCTCTATAACAATCCCAAGTGAAATTGAAACTTGCTTCTCTAGAAACGAAAAAAAGAGCACTGAACTATTCTGTAATATCAATGTTCCTATATGACACTGAATGCTGGATAATTTTCTCGCAGATGAAGAAAAAATGTGGTTCTACAGAAGGATACTGTGGTTCTACAGAAGGATACTGAGTATGCCATGTACGAGGGCTTGCGATGAAATTTTAAACAAAAATGAAAAAAAAAAGACGCTTATGCTTAGAATCAGAAAGAGGCAGTTGAAATTTCTTGGACACATACTGAGGAAAGAAGGTTAGTAGAATTTGACACTCACATTATACGCTGAAGGAACAGTGAAAAAAAAAATAATACAAATAATCCACCCGAGGAGTTTGTGCAAATAGATGGCAAAACAAGGAATGACAGAAATAGTAAAAAGAAAAATATTGCTCAGAGCTATAGCAGATAGGAAGATGTAGAGAGCTATAATCGCTCACAAAAAACAAGTCACGTCTACGTAGAAAATTAATTCGTTCTAGGCTGATAAGTTTAATAATTATTAATGCTGTTCGTTTTTAGTGTTTTAAAACTCTTGTTAGTAAATTAACTGCTGGGTTTCTGTGGCCCAATTATTAAGGCTTCGTCCAAGTTAGACGGGCTTCCGAGGAAACGTAATGCAGTTTGAAGTTTTCTAGAAATGTCTATTTTTAAAATTTTGTTCTGCTTCCAATATTACATTTCAGTGGCCGTAGAACGCAAATAAAAAAAGAAGTTTCATTAGACAAAAAGAAAGAAGTATTGAACTGTTGTGTAATGTTAGCCCTCCTAAATGACAGTGAATGCTGGACAATCTCCTCACAGTTGAAGAAAAGAATTTAAGCAACAGAAATGTAGTTCTACAGAAGGATGCTGAAGATAACATGGATCGAACATGTGTTCAACAACGAAGTTTAACAGAAAATCGAAACAAAAAGACACACCAGGAAGAGACAGTTGACATTTCTAGAGCGTGTAATTCGGAAAGAGGGATTGGAAAATCTGATACACAGAGGATAGATTGAAGGCAAGAGTGGCAGAAAAAAAATAACCTATGGCCTACTTAGCGAGCTTTGATGTCAGAACGGGGTTTAGTAGAGATACCATAAAGAATAAATTAATTAAGAGCTAAAAAGAAGAGGTAGTTGCGGAGAGTCATGATCATCAATGTTCTGAATATATACGGCACGTAGAATAAGAAGAAAGCAAAATTATTCAAGTGCTACAAAAATACCAGAAAAAAAAAAGAAATTAATAGCCGTCAAAATGTAACGGAGATACCTAAGAAATTTGGATGACGTTAATCTTTTATTGTATACTGAATTAATGCGAAATGCGCTTACAAATATGAAAGACGAAAGGGAAATGAAAAGGGAAAATAATGAAATATTCTGAGAGTGGGAAATAAAAAAGAAATTGTTTGTTGAGGAATATTTTAGCGATAAAAAACAGGAAAGGCTTGGAATAAATAAGAAAAAAGTTAAAAGCAATAGACGAAAAAAGGAAATATGGCTGAAAACAAAGATTAAATGGATTTGTGTTTATGTGTGGAATTTTTAGCAAAAGATGTGAATAAGTTGGTAAAGAAGGGATTAGCTATGAAGAAAAGATCGATAAAAAAAACAAAAACAAGTATTCTTCCGTTTCTTTCCTTCCTACTTTCTTTCTTTTTTTGTTTCTTTCTTTTTTACTTTCAATTACGGGAAAAGATAGAAAGAAACAGAAAGAAGATTTGGAGTAAAATAAAGAAATATTAAAGAACGATAGAAAGAAAAAGTAAAAAAAAGAAGAAGAAAGAATGGAAAAGAATGAAAGCAAGAAAGAAGAAAAATCGAAAAGAAAAAATAAGAAAAGAATAAAAATGAATGAAAGAAAATCAAAAGAAAGTAAGAATGGAAATACGAAGGAAGGAAGGAAGGAAGGAAGGAAGGAAGGAAGGAAGGAAGGAAAACAAACAAACAAACAAACAAACAAACAAACAAACAAACAAACAAAAGAACATGAACGAACAGGAGGAGAAAATGGAAAATTATGGAAAAGGAAAGAAGAAAGAAAGAAAGATGAAGAGAAAAAAGAAAGTGAAAAAGAACAACGTATAGTGATATATATATATATAGAGAGAGAGAGAGGAGAGAGATAGAGAGAAGTGAAAGAGTAGAGAGTGAAAGCGAGAGAAGGGGGGAGAACAATCAAATTTTATTCATGCTATAAGCACTAACCATTATGTGATGCAAGACAAGGAGTGTCAATGATAATGATGTGGAATTTGATATTAAAAATAAAAACAAAAATCATCAAATATTTAAAAAAAAAGCAATATATTTTCCATGACTGCATAATTATAAACATTAAAAAAAAAAAACAGGAAAAAGCAAGCATTTTAAAAACATTTTAAAATATCACAAAAAGAATGAAACACTACTTCTGTCGATTTACGCAGAAGGTGGGATAGATGATAATTTCTCGAGACGCACGCTTTTATCTCATTATGGGCACATGATTGGTGCTGTACTTTGGCGGGTGTGGCAGGGTACTACAAATACATGAATGTACAAACTCAACTATTTACCTAGCTATAAAGAAGAATCTGCCATATTATTGGTCCTGATCTGGCGGCTCGGTTTCAGTCACTTTCCCACTGCTGTAAGGTTCCCTCTCTGTGCCTTTTCTATAAATACTTTCATGGTTATTGTTCGAATGAGCTCTTCGCTATGGTACCTAGATTTTATGAATTTAATCGCAGTACTAGATTGGCGTCGAGGTCTCATCAATTTACAGTTGAGTTGCCTAGATGTGACCATGACTTCTATGCTAACAGTTTCTTCTCTCACACTTCTCACTTGTGGAACTCCCTTCCGGCTCCATGCTTTCTCGCCAACTTTAATCTGCCAACATCAATCGCTATCCACTCTCTTCACTTTCTGCTCAGCATTAATGTTTCTGTTCCTAATTCTATCACACCCCGTAATCTCTGGTGTTTCAGTGGAATTGTTGTCTTCCTTGGGTAGATTCTGATTTAAAAGCAAATCTCTGTATAGTTTCTCTAGAAAAATTCTTCAAAACCGACGTATTGACCAACAGATCTTGACAGGAACGAACAAGATTTCGGTAAAGAAAAGTAGATTTTTATTTCCTTGGAACCACGACGAGCAGGTGAAATTACTTCTTGTATAGGTTGAATTAAAGATTTCCTGAAGAAATATTAGGTTTGTCCAACGGGGGAGGTGATAAAATATAATAACGAAATCTAATTTTATACCAATATCAAAATGGTGAAATATTTTTACGTAAATTTATCACGTAATTTATCTACCTCTATTAATGTCTGTTTCAATTTCAAGGGATATTCATGTAATATTTTCAGTTCATATCAGTCACTATCTATCTATCTATCTATCTATCTATCTATCTATCTATCTATCTATCTATCTATCTATCTATTTATTTATTTATTTATTTCTATCAATCAAAAAAAGAGTGAAATAAAAATTTAGTTAATATTTAATTAGTTTTATTTCATGTTTCGTCTGTTTTTACATATTTAAAATGTCTTCCGGACACCTCGGCGTGGTGTAATGGTTAGCAAGCTTGTCTCGCTAGATCAGTTACAACTGAAAAGTGAGTTCGATTTCACTAGATGCCCCATACTTTTGGCCTTGTGCCACATCTAAACTACGCTTGGAAAATAACTATTTAAAATGTCTTCCTTTCTCATATTTCTTAGCACTAGGATCTATAGCTCCCCCCCACTACTTGGTTCTTAGGGGCATATAATTAGGAAGTTGGCCTAGGGTATCACCAAACGTATGCATGTCACTATATATATATATATATATATATATATATATATATAGATAGATAGATAGATAGATAGAGTGGTAAAATCTCCGACTGATATCAAATCAGTTGGGTTTGGATCCCGGCTTGAGCAATCGGATGTCTAATCACACTGATGAGTTGCGAAACAGTCTGTCTGTGGATGACAATGTATATACATGCTCTTGGGGGGAAAAAATATTTCGGTTGAGCTATTCAGGGAGAAAAGTGAATTTGTAAACAGTGACTATTACTGCTGCTAGCGCTAATCGAATGCTCCAGTCATTGGCGTATTTGTCTAAAAATAAATACGTCTAAATGAACCTTCATCCCTGCCGATGGCTTAATGGTAAAATATCTGACTGATTTCAAATCGGTTGGGTTTCGATATCGGCTTGAGGAAATCGGATGTCTAGCCACACTGATGAGCTGTTAAACGCTCTAACTGTTGATGACAATATATATTACTGGATTTTTAAATTTTTTTTTCTGTTATCCATACATTTAAAACATTGAGTTGCTCATTGTTTTATACAAGGATAAGTTTTCAATTTCGACAATTATCTCATCAAACAAATTTGGGGATCGAACCATTGTCTCCTGGTTTATGAAAAGAAGAGAATTTTAGCTCTAGTCACAACGTCAGTTTCAGCTGACAGATTAAAACCTTAATCCCCCCCCCAAAAAAAAAAGAACGAAGTGAAGAAGAAGAAAAATTTGAAGGTCAAAAAAATAAAAAGAAAAATTTGAAGGTCAAAAAAATAAAAAGATAAAAAGAAAACGAGTTTGGAAGATATTCCTTTTTGTGCCAGATTCATTTTGGGGATCTTTGAAGGCTAGCGATTGACTCCAGACTGTCTTGGAGACATAAATAAAAAGGGTTTCTGGTGCATACATGGGCAGGGTCGGTGGTTTTGGGATGCAAGATTTGGGTGAAGACAAAGATGAATGGATTTCTTTTCAGGGCATGGAAAAAATATCTCTGAGTTTGCTGAAAAATAGTCCAGTTCTGCGAAAGAAGATATATTCACTGCTTATCGCTTCTTCTTTTATATATATATATATATATATATATATATATATATATATATATCAAAACGTTAAACTGCAAACGTCAAACTATAAAAAAAAGGTAGATGGATGAAGGAAAAATATGAAGAATAAAATTGTTTAAAAGATAGCAGAGGACAAAAAATAAGAATAAATACGTACTGGATTGTAGGAACGAAAGTTTAGGCGAAGGGAATAAAAAATTTGATATTAAGATATAAAATAAACTCTAAAGAAGACGGAGAAATAAAATAAAAAGGTATCAGGGATATGAAAGGGAAAATAAGTATGAATGAAAACATTGTGGGAGATAGATAGATAGATAGAGAGAGAGAGAGAGAGTGTGTGTGTCTGCGTGAGAGAGAGAGAGAGAGAGAGAGAGATGATGAGGAGAGGTGGCTGAAAGCAGAAATCTTAGAACAGGTTCCAACAAAAGAATTTGTCGAAAAGATAAAAATAAGGAAATAAAAGAATAAAACAAAAAAGTCACGAAAGTTAAGGTAAAACACGAACGAAAGCAAAATTTGAAGAAAGTTTGAATAAAACTAAAAAAAAAAAAATGATAAAACAGACGATACGTGTATATGAAACGAACTGGTGTAGAAAAAATAAATAAAAGTTCAGGACCAAAACTTAGATGGCCAACGAAAGTTGAAAGGAATAAGAGAGAGAATGAAAAGATACGGCAAAAGGATGAAAGAAGAGTATATGCATGAGATAATAAATAACCTTTACTATCGACAACCGTGGCTTTCTCTTGAATTTAGTAAATTGGATATTCAACCATTCGTCCTTTCATTGAATACCGTTGCCATATATGGTCTGGTGTCCCCACTCTTCGTTTCGGTGTCCTTGACAAAATCTAGAGACGGATATGCAATGTGATAGGTTCTGATCTGGCATCTCGTCTACAGTCACTTTCTCATAGACTTTCATATCTCCTGAAATATCAATTTCAGTTGAGCTCTCTGGGGACGAGGTGTGGGTTGGTAAACAGTGACTATTATAGCTATATAGCGAGACTCTTCGCAGATGTGAATTGAGTCACTGTCGGTCACTGGGCGTGTTTCTAAAAATAAATACGCTAAAAATCCACTTTCATCCCTACCGTGCGCCGACGGCTTAATGGTTAGAATCTCCGACTCCAATTCAGTCGGGTTTCGATCCTAGGTAGAGGCAACCGGATGTCTAGTCACACTGATGAGCTGCGAAACAGTCTGTCTGTGGATGACGTTATATATATATATATATATATATATATGATTAATACCAATATAAAATGTGTCACTTAGTATTCAGTCCTTTTGTGAACTATATATATATGGACTGAATGCTAAGACACACACACACATATATATATATATGATTAATACCAATATAAAATTAGTCACTTAGCATTCAACATTTGGAGTGGCGTAACAGTCGGATCTTTGCATAGCAATCTTTTCGGTGTGAAGCTCGAATGTGGAAGGAAGCTCTGACATTGATGTGTCTGCTTTCTTTGTCTTCTGATCACCAACAGTTGATTTCGCCTTTTCAGCGGTCTTCATGACTCCTCCCTGAACAACATGGCGACAACCGCTGCGATCGTCTTGCTGGCTGGAAACAGCTACCAGAGTCAATGCCTGTGAGTTTCAGGTCTTTTCTTGAAACGTAGTGTAGGGCGGACTACCGGGCAGTGTCCCTTGGCCAGTTCACCATATATGAGTCTTTTGGTATACGGTCGTCAGTCATTATTAAGAGGACGTTCATAAATGAGAAAATGCATACTCCAAGAGCATATATATATATATATATATATATATATATATATATATATAGGGCAGCAGATCTTTATTCAAACATGTATTCTTTATGAAACATATATTCAACGAATGTCTATTATGTTTGATCATGAGGCGTTCTAAGTTTTAGTTTCAGTATAGTGGCTTTAGTTTCATATATATATATATATATATATATATATATATATATATATATATATATATATATAGGATATATTATTGTTGAAGTTTATAAGCAGTAAATTCGACCTTGCCTACCGAACGCTCCGTTGTGGCCGAGCCGGTTAAGGCACGTCAGCGTAAATGACGGTTCCGTATAGGATGCAGGTTCGAATCCTGTCAAAGGACGAATATTTTCTATGAAAATTTCTCGGAATATATGTTTCATAAAGAATACATGTTTGAATAAAGATCTGCTGCCCCTATATATATATATATATATATGTTATTTGATACTGTTTATTATAAACAGAGCATTTACTTAAATACTTGTATCTATAAAAAGAATGTTAAACATAAAAAAATGTCTTTAATATATTTATATGTATATATCAAACAACTATCATATCTGTCACATGCAGAAACATCTAAACAAGAAAAAACAAAATACAAATTTACCCGGAAATAAAATTTACGTACTTTGTTTAATTTTGTTTGAACATGTGATTTAATTCAAAATGCCGTAAGGTATGAAATGCTACATTGCGTCTGTAATAAGTTTCCTATCATGTCGCGTTATATTTCCGTTCAATTTTGAATTCTCCGTCTTAACGTGTCTTCATTCTTTCCTTTTTTCTTTTCTTTTCTTTCCTTTCTCTTCGTAGTAGTTTTGATTTCTTATGCTTTTTTATTCTTTTCTTTTCTTTCCTCTTTCTTTTTTTTCTTTTTATTGATTTTCCTACTTTTTTTTTTTACTTAAATTTGCTTTTTTCTTTCTTTTTCTTTTATGGAATGAATAGATTTTTTCATATATTTCATTTCTTTGCCTTCTATGGAAAATTTGTAAAAAGATGTGATTCTTTCATGAAGTGTATTTTTAAATAAAATCATTTATTACCACCATCGTTAACGGCCTGACGAGATATCTTTAGATGTCGAAACAAATATGCATTTATGTAATGGCAACTTGCATGTTCCAAGGTATTCCTAATATTATAAATTAACTGGAGACTCCAAAATTCACTTGAGGATGAAATGAAACTAATTGTTTTTAATTTAATTACAAAATTAAATTCGAAGCTTTCATCTTCCATTTTTGAAACATGGTTAATACTGTGTAGCGAAAAAATATTTTAAATCAGTTAATTTATAATATAAATATGTGTATAAATGACAAGGCAAGCAAAATGTTTTGTTGTCATAGTTACATTAAAACATTTCACTTTCATTGTTTGCCTTTATAAAGTCGGAAGACGAAACGCGTCGGCAAGAACTAAGAACTTTTTCCAATTGTCATTTTTATACGAATTTGTCTTATCCACAGAATTATTCTGCGAAACTGAACTATATATATATATATATATATATATATATATATATATATATATATATATATATATGTAGGTTCTTAGTACTGACCTGGCATCTCGATCTCTGTCAATACCTCGCCGCCGTAATGTAGCTTCACTGCGTTTTTTTTATAAATACTTTCATTGAAATTGTTCTGATGAACTTTTCGCTTTTGTACCGAGATTCATGAATTGAATTGCAGTACTAGATTGGCGGTTAGGTCTTATCATTTTATAACTGAAATGGTGAGATGTAGCCGTAGATTTTATGCTATCAGATTCATCTATAGCACCTCAACCTTGTGGAACTCTCTTTCGGCTGAAATTTGAATGCATTATCAATTTTTACTTTCTTAATTCCTTTTATTGTCTTCTTTCCTTTATAGTATATTTTTATCATATTCTATCATACTCAGTAACTCTTTGCGTCATAGCGCATTTATTGCCTGGCTTCGATATAGTGATTATATATATATATATATATATATATATATATATATATATATAGCATGATTTCGAGATTCGCAGCAATAAATTCCCATTTTTATTTATTTAGCTGTGTATTCATTTATTATTAATCTTGTTATTTTTTTCATATTGATCCTTTCATTTACAAAATCTGCTTCTTGTAAAAATGTTATCCGCCATTCTTATGTTGGTTGACGATTTTTATTAGTCGTGCATTATTATTATTATTGACAGACATTTGTTATCTATCTATCTATCTATCTCTCTCTCTCTCTCTCTCTCTATATATATATATATATATATATATATATATTAGGCACCTCGAGGAGGTTTAATGGTTAGCAAGCTTGTCTCGCTGGAACTATTACGAATGAGTAGTGAGTTCAATCCTCACTGGGTGCCCCTTATTTTCGGCCTTAGCTACATCCAAGCTACGCTTGGAAAATCACTCACTATATATATATATATATATATATATATATATATATATATATATATATATATATATATATATAATTTGTTCAAAAATTATAACATAAATATGTTATAAAATCACTACAAAAATATCCATTTTGTTACAACACTTCTGATGTCTTATCAAGTGATGGCAGAATAAAGAATTTTAAAAGGTTCAAATCAACCAAACACCCTTCGATGGGGGAAACGCTGTTATATAAGCTACAATGCAATGCAATGCAATTTTCTCTACTCTGTATTGCACGCTTTTAAGCATAGTATTTTTTAGTTATTAGAATTTATTCCGTATATATCAATATTTGTATATATATATATATATATATATATATATATATATATATATATATATATAAATAAAAAGACCACTTTTATGGTACCATTATGATAATTTATTTCACAGAGCCCCCAAAAAGGACGCCGGATCATCAGATAGCACTTCAAAAAGTGGAAGTTCTATTTGATGATCCGACATCCTTTAAAAGGACTCTGGTGAAATAAATTATTATAATGGTACCTTAAAGTGGTTTGTTTTTCTTTAAAATATTAGCTCTGGATTTACATTGAGCTCTCAGGATTTCATCCTCCTTGGGATTACACATACGGATTACCAAGTTCTTCATAACTTATATATATATATATATATATATATATATATATGTGTGTGTGTGTGTGTATATCGACTGATCGATCTCTCTCTGATCATATCTCTCTCTCTCTCTCTCTAGCCAGTTAACTAGTCAGCTACAACGGCGAATAATTTTTGACCTGGAATGTCGATGGTCGGAAACCATTAACTGCAATGAAATGGTTAATAAGAAATAACGTACGCCATATTTTACTTTCGCGTAAATGAAAAGAAAAACTAAAGTAAAAATACCACAGCCTCAGATGAGCAGTTCTGGACATGTCGACCATCTCGAAATCTTTTGTGCCATTCAAATCACAAGCCTACATGACCTGTATTCTTCACCATTAATTAGCATAAGAAAGGATTCAGAAGAATTTTGCTTGAATTTTGTCGAAATTTACAAATTGATGCTCAATTGTTCAGCTGACAGATTTTACGACACGTCAGAAAAACATGTTTACTTCAAGCGACGCGTACAACCAGCTATAAACGTGAGCGGATTGAGATATTCAAGAGATTTCTTTTTTGAATATTCGGCCATTGGTCAATATATAACACGAGTTTCGAGCATGCGCACTGTAGTTCAAGTTTCATAAGCCCAAATGCGTTATTTTATATCTCGCACACACACACACACGCACACATACACACATATATATATGACGTCTATGTACGCTGTAGATCTGATATTGAACACTCTTCCCTATAGATTGATTAAACAACATATATATATATATATATATATATATATATATATATATATATATATATATATATATATATATTATTTTGCTGCTGTTATTATTATTATCATTGATATAATTATTAATAATATTTACCCATCAACAGAATGAAATTGTGCAATAATAATATTTACCCATAAAGCATATGAAATTGTGCAATCTTTCATGCATATGTAAAGGAATATAAAAATCACACACACACACACATACACACACACACATATATATATATATATATATATAATATATATTGTTGACATGGGGAATGTATGGATAAAATAAATATCTTTCATTTATTTACTATCTATTCTATCTTAATACTCGGTTACTTAAAGCAGAGGACATAAAAATACTTTTTAATATATATATATATATATATATATACGTTTATTCTGTGGATACACTTATTTGAGTAAATGCTCTTTTCTTTAATTAAATAGTATTAATTACATTTACCGGCCTGAATATTCGAGAAATTTCATAGAAAATATGCGTCTTCGAAAAGGAATCGAATCTGTATCCTATACAGAACCGTCATTTAGCCTGATAAATATCTATGACTTCATGATAGGAAGTTGTAGAGAGCCGTGATCAGCCACGTCCTGAAGGGACGCGACATATAGAAGAGGTAATAAGTTGGTAATTAAAGTGGTTAAATAAATTTAGGTCTGTAGTTTTTAGCAATTTAGGCATTTACTTCTAATTGCTATTTTTACTGTTCTCTAAATCAAAATCAGTAAACAAAGACTATTCAGAAATACACAACTGAGAAACAACAGATTAAACAGTAATTTAAACATTACTTAAAGAATAGAGAAAGTGGCCTTTCAGAAGCTAAGCAAAGTATTAAGAAACAGAAATATTTCGCAAGAAAAAAATGCCTGTCGAATTGCTATGCACTTATCAGTCCTCTTATATTGCAGTGAATGATGGACAATTTACTCGCAGATGAAGAGGAAACCTGAAGCACAGAATTGTGTTTCTACAAAAAAAAAAAAAAAAATGCCGAGAATGCCATGAACGGAGCATGTGTGCAATGAGAAAGTTTTAAGGAAGATGAAAACCAAAAAGAATACTTATCTTTTGAAAGCCAAAATTTCAATGACAAGTGCATTTGAAGCTCATACAATATATGGAAGGCAAGAGAGACAATACGAAAGAATAAGTAACTGACGTAATTAGCTTGCGTAAATGGATAGCAGAACAGGGAGAGAGAGTGTTAATAATAATATACATATTATTAGGAGTTATGCAATCCGGAAAGTTGTGGACGGCTATTATCGTCTACGTCCTGGGGTGACGCGGCAAAGAGGAAGAACAAAAAGAAGAAAAAAGAAGAAGAAAGGAAAAAGGATAAGAAGAAAAAGAAAAAAAAATGATGAACAAAGGAACAGAAGGAAAAAAGGAGAAAAAAGAAAAAGTAGAAGAAGAAAAGGAAGAAAAAGAAAAAATGAAATAAAAAGAAGGGTAAAAAGATAAAAAGAATAACAGGAAGAAGAAGAAAGGAAATGAAGAAGAAAAACAAGAAGAAAAAAGAAGAAAGAAAAGAAGAAGAAAGAAAAGAAGAAGAAGAAGAAGGAGAAGAAAAACAACAAGAAATAAAAAAAAGAAAGAAAAGAAAAAGAAGTCTTATTTTATATACGATTTTTCTCTCATGCAAAAAGCCAGGATAGATATAAATCCGAAGAGGAAGAAGTCCTCTGGTGAAAAGAGCAATTTTGATTATTATTCGCTTTATCTCTGGGTTTTATCTTGTGGGATATAGAAACAGACATCGAAACATTACAAAAATACCCCCCTCCAAACCGGAAAACTTTGCTCCCTTTCATGAGGCAAGGGCATATTCTACACTTACCTCTCGATAAGGCTGTTCGTGTTGGAATTGGCACCTACTCTCCTGTTGTTCGTTTTAGATTTCCTATCTATCAATTATTTAAAAATTTACAGGAATCTATCTCAGGTCACACCAATGTTGGTGTCGATTCACACACATTTCCATCTTGTTGGTTTCCCTTGGAACTAAAGAAAAGAACAGTCTTTCTCAACACACAAGTACTGCACGCTTCAACACCTGTTTCCTTTACAACCCAACTACTTATCTACCAATCAACCCAATCGTCGCTACGTATTCAGGAACAAAGGCATTACAGCTGCTCTCACACACACATGTTCGTGTGTGTGAGAGAGAGAGAGAGAGAGAGAGAGAGAGAGAGAGAGACAGCGAGAGAGTGGGGAGAGAATATATATATATATATATATATATATATATATATATATATATGTCGTCAAAGAGAGAGAATGTGTGGGGGGTGGCAGAGTTGGTGTATAATTCTATAGACTGATTCGTCGGTCGAAACTGATTGAATCGGTTCGCATTCATTTAGTTTCATTTCTACTGGGAGATCGATTAGTCAGAGTGTCAAGTTGTATTTTACCTTTCAACGTATTTAATCGTTGGCATCCGATTTCCATATCTATCTATCTATCTATCTATCTATCTATCTATCTATCTATCTATCTATCTATCTATCTCACTCTGTTCACTATCTATCTATCTATCTATCTATCTATCTATCTATCTATCTCACTCTGTTCACTATCTATCTATCTATCTATCTATCTATCTATCTATCTATCTCAGTCTGTTCTCTATCTATCTATCTATCTATCTATCTATCTCAGTCTGTTCTCTATCTATCTATCTATCTATCTATCTCAGTCTGTTCTCTATCTATCTATCTATCTATCTATCTCAGTCTGTTCACTATCTATCTATCTATCTATCTATCTATCTATCTCAGTCTGTTCACTATCTATCTATCTATCTATCTATCTATCTCAGTCTGTTCACTATCTATCTATCTATCTATCTATCTATCTATCTATCTATCTATCTATCTAAACACGATGTCCACTGCATTTCTTTGCAGTGCTGGTGAACCCTGCCAAAAAATCTCTGCCCCACATGTTACACCTCAGTTGTTCTCCCCATTGACGACGACATAAAAGCCATAAAACTCAATATTGCTGCACATGAAAGAAGAAAATCGAAATCACGTGACAAGCTGCATTTAATCACGGGGAGAGAAAAAAAAAGGGTGGGGCCTGGTATATGTCAATGGGGTGGTGTACAGGGCGATTATCGGAGACTTTGATGAGGAATATGTCATATTGGAAAAGAGGACTCACAAGATGTGTGAGAGACTGGGGGGGATAGAACAATCGGGGAGGGCCAGGGCTGTAAATCATAAAGGATTATAATATAAGAATAAAAGTGAGTTTTACGCGGTGGGGGGGGAGTATAATGAAAGAGAAGATTGAGTAGAAAGAAGGAAAAGTAGAGGGTTTTAGTAATAGTTATCAAAAGAAAGAAAGAAAGAAAGACTTTTCCACAACTTGCATAGAATTCAGTGAAAGTCGTTTGAACTTGATTAAATGTAACTTCACGTCAGTAGCATTGTTTAGAACGTTAATCTCAGAGACTGCTACCAGTGTAATGAATTCAGTACTAAAAGATTGCCCTATATTCATGGCCTTGTGCCGTATTAAGCGATACTTAGTTAATATAAATAACGTGGACATAAATGTCCGCTCAAATGGGATAAATAATTATAAAGAAACATGAAAGAAAGAAAGAAAGAACGAATAAATAAACAAACGAGAAATATATAATAAGAAATAAAAAAATAATAAGAAATAAAAAAATAAATAAATAGCAAAATTGGATAAGAAAACAGAAAGAAACAGAAAGAAGGAAAAAGAAAGAAATAAAGAAGGAATAATAGTAGTCGTCGTCGTCGTCATCATTGTTGTCGTCATGGTAGTAGTAGTAGTACTAGTAGAAGAAGAAGGAGCAGAAGAAGAAGAAAAAGTAGAAGAAGATTGTGTCTGTGTGTTAATAATTGAAGTTTAAAAGACAAGAGAAAGAATGATAAAGAGGGAATAACAGGTCGAAAAAGAATTTAAATAGAAAAAAGGTATATAAAATTCGAAAGAAAAGAATGCAAAAAAGAAAAAAAGAAAAGGAAAATAGAGAAAGAAGAAAAGAAAAAAGATAGAGAAAAAAGAGATGAACAAATGGAAGGAAAAGAAAAAAAATGCCAGAAAGAAGAAAAGAAAATGGAAGAATAGATAGAAGAAAAGGAAAACGGATGGAAGAGAAAGAAGAAAAGTGAAAGAGGAATAGAAGAAAGTGGAAGAACATAAAAATGGACGGAAGAGAGAGAAAAAAAGAAAAATGGATGTTAAAGAAAGAAGAAAAGAATAATGGAAGGAGGAGAAAGAAGAAAAGAAAAAAACTAAAGGAAAAAAAATGGAAGAAATAAAAGAAAAGAAAAATGGAAGAAAGAATAAGAAGAGAAGTCCCCCCCCAATGAAGATGATGATGATGATGATCGAATGAATGTCAGAGAAGAAAGTTAATAAAATAGTGACTGACCACACATCCGAGGTTCAATTGACATTCAATGCCTTTCATATCTTTAAGAAATGATTAAAAAAGATTAAAGGCCCGTCAAAGAAAGAAAAATGGCGTCGGAAGAGGAGTAAAAAGTAAGAGATTGATAGAAAAGCAATGGGAAGGAGATTTTTTTTTTTGGCCAACCAATCGATATTTGATAACCAAAACGAAAATTTAGGAGAAAGCAGAAAACAAAAATTAGTAAAGTATAACAAGGAAAATATTCTGGATTAGGAAGCGCAATCATAATTTGGTTAAATCCGAATTAAATTTAGAAGAGAAAGATCCCCTGTGATTAAATCTGTACTGTGTATGGCATTGGTAATAACGTTTGTTGGGAAAACGACATTTACGCAATCAGGGACATTTCCTAGATGTTAACCTCCAGGAGAATGAGACGTTACGCCTTCTCGGGCTAAGATAGTTCTGCTGATATGAAGAGGAAAGATTATATTGAATTAATTACTAGGTCGCTTACTAAGAAAGTTGGTTCACTGTGTCGTGCTAAAAAGCTTTTCTCTCCAGAATGTATCTTACATATTTATAAATCTACCAATGCGTCCCTGGATTCAATATTACTGCCGCATCTGGTCTTCTTTCCCTTTTATACATTTAGAGATTCTTGATATCTATGCTTTGTTCGTTGACTTTTTTTTGTAAGCCTTCATAAATATGTACAATACATTCATTAAAAGGAGACTCTGTGTTGTTGGTGTTATACGTAAGTAATTACTTATTTGTCTTCTCATATATATATATATATCATATTCGCTGAAGAGCTCTCTCCATTAAAATGTAAATGTCCGTATCTAGGTTGATGTAAGCCTTCTCTTAATACGTACTGCTATCAAGAGGGCGTGGCTTAAATTAATGTTCCAATGTTGACAACAATGAAATGTCATCGGGTTATGGAGTCCAGGCAAGAAAGTCAAATTAATTACTAGCATTGGAACATTCTGAAGGCAAAAACAAATACATGCGGGCAAATCAACACGTGCAACTAGTACATAAGCCCAAACAAACACAAGTAACCTTACATACATATGTTATAATCACATGCAAATTTATAATCATTTAATATCATGTTGATATTCGTAGTAATAGAGAAGTGGCTAGCTAATCCCTTGATGTAAACGACTGCTCAGGCATATAATGTTTATTCAACACCCACAGGTCCAACCAGCGTTTTCTACTGCAACTAAGCAGTTTTAAGAGAAGAGTGCATAATCTGACAGGATCAAAAGTTGAGCGAAGCGTGTACGCCCAGATCATCGTGAACGATGACTTGTGACTTTTTGTTACAACAACCATCGATAGCTTGCGAACAGTTTCATTGGCGCTTTTTCTTTCAATTTTCAAGACTTGGGTCAATCCATAGTATGACGTTCATGTATTTCTCAACGGTCACGCTCGACCCATATCATCAAGTAGTCACCTGCTGGACAAATCAATCATGATGAAATCCTAACATGGGTCTCAGTGGAAACTTCAACGTTCTAGCCAAACACACAATATGCTCCGCACGTACACATATATATTTATATATGTCTCTCTCTCTCCCCCATATATATATATATATATATATATATATATATATATATATAATAATAATAATAATAATAACAAAAAGGCTTAAACACTAATATTCCATGGTCATAGTTTATTCCATTGGAATCGTAAATATATATGTATGTGTATTCATGTATGTATGTATATATTTATATATTTTGCATATGTATGTGTATATCTACACTAATATTATCTATCTATCTATCTATCTATCTATCTATCTCATTCCCTCCATATCTATCTATCTATCTATCTATCTATCTATCTATCTCTCTCTCTCTCTATATATATATATATATATATATATATATATATATATATATGGTTTTTGGACATTTGCATACTGGACACTTGCATCCTTGGACATTTGCGTCCCTAGATAATTGCGTATCTCTGATAATTTTTTTTTGAAGCTTTTAAAGTGAATTTGCATGAATTTTTTAAAAAAGGCGTTGATAGTAATCATAAATTGTTAAAGAAGGAATAAAATAATAAAAAATTAAAAGTATATTTTGGTTTAAAATGCAATGGCAGATTAACAATGTTGCAAGATACCACTACACCATCGTCAGTATGTTTTTCTTTCATCGACATTTTCCTTATGATAATGGTAGCTGTAATTTTCCTCGTCAATATTTTTTCACCAGTTTTTGATTTTCATAATTTAGCCACGGGTTCCAAATAAAAATATAATCTGTAAAATCCAGAATCTATTAAATGTTTGTGGTCCGCACTACTGGAGTTAACTTCTAGCGTAATTTTCTCTTGATTTAAGAAAGAAATTTGTCTCTCTTTTTTAATTTATGGTGACTGTCTTTCTGTCTATTTGGAGTAATTAAAGGTATTGGTGTGCAAATTTCTATATTAAACAACTCTTTGAAAAAAAAAGTAAGTTCAAAAAATTATCAGAGGTACGCTATTATCCAGGGACGCATTTGTCTAGGGACGTTAATGTCCAAGGACGCAATTGTCTGGTACGCAGTTGTTCGGGACGCAAATGTCCAGTACGCAACTGTCCGTCCACCATAAACACACCACACACACAACACACACACACACACACACACATATATATATATATATATATATATATATATATATATATATACATATAAATATAGATAACTAGACTCGTTTCGAAAAACCCTCGAAGTTTTGATTTGCTAATCAAATCAATCTCGAGGGAAAAAAAGGTTTTAAAAAAAGAAAGAGCTACAAACATGAACTTCTGCCGACAAAAAAATCGCACAGATGTAGGTCTGAAGCCCAAAGAAAAAACCCCGATACGAGTAACAACTAACTAACAAAAGAGCTCAATACAACCGTAGAGCAGACCTAGATACACCTACCTAGGTTTCACCTAAACGGATCGTGTGACGATCCGTTTAGGTGAAAGCTAGGTAGGTTTGTCTGGCTCACTAGGTCTATCTATCTATCTATCTATCTATCTATATATATATATATATATATATATATATAATTTATACGCACATATATGCCTATATTTCATGTGATCTTGAGGTACAATACTGGGGATTTCGTTGGAATCCTTCGGCTCGGCAAGATGCTAACCTCCGGAGGAGTGACGTATTTCGACTACACGGACTAAGATTTTCCACTGACATCAAATGGATATTTATCTTATGCAATATTACATTAGGACATGCACATATCCACTACAGTTTTGTTTCAACGTCATAAAAAGGAAAACCTTTTTTAAACGTCTCATCAGGTGGGGAATCACTTTTGATACTTTTCCTTTTTTGACGTTAAAACAAAAATGTACAATTTTGTAGTGGGTATGAGCATGATCTAATGTAACACTGCATAAGAAAAATAAATATTTATAGCTCTACTTTGTGTATTGAGCACTGTTTTTAAATTAATGTTCTGAACGGTGTAACATTACTGTTCGTTCTCTTACACTTTGATATATATATATATATATATATATATATATAAATTCGCTTGAAGATGGAACAGAGTTTGGTACTTTAATTCATTTTAATTCAAATAATTATATTGAAGTTTTCGGCTCTTGTTTTGAAACATGAGAACTCTTATGTAGCGTGTTGGAATCATATTTTTAAATAAATAATTATATTTATGCTCTACTTTTGTATCGAGCATTATTTAAAAAAAAATAAAAACAAGAATACTAAAGAACTTTGGATTAATTACCTAACGAGTTCTTTCCTATTTTCTATATATTTTTACACACACACACACACACACACACACACATATATATGTATATTTATCTATATATATATATATATATATATATATATATAATTATTTATATGTTTATTTTGAAATTTGTATTTTAACATGTTTAAACCAGGTATCTGATCGGCTTTTTACATTTTATATTTTATATTTTGATGTTTTCTTTTTTTACGTAGACAGTCTAGTTAACTGAAAGGTTATGTTTTACCCATGGTCGTGATTGATTTGTTTTTTACGGGTTTTCAACCCTTTATGGGTTATTTAAAGCCGAAACACTTTGTACTGTAAGAATATTTCTTTTTTGCTAGTGAATATTGCATTAACAATTGCTTGAGAGCAACAATTACAACTCCTACTATTTCACCCATAACTGGGGGGAAGAGATGGATTTATACCTATCTCAAAGTTAATTGGGACTAAGTGAATGTAACGGAGTCAACTGTAAATCGAACTCGCTTCTCCGATTTCTCATTACGAACCGATATTCATTACACCAGCACATCCACATACATAGTTCTGAGTGTGTCTCGGTTCGTAAGTCCACGGGAAAAGAGAGTCGGCGTGGTTTCTGGCGTCTCTGTTAATAAGGTGAGACAGTGTACTCCCGATAAACTCTTGTGGTAGTGTTTAAACTGAATTTACCTCACTTTTTGCCGTGGTAATTCTTCCTTATTCTACTTGTTTGTGCTTTAGAATCGTTTCATTTATCTCATGGCAGAGTGTTGTACCTGCCCAGTGTCCAGCCTTTTCACCTCCAGAGGCAAGGCGATAAAACCACTAAAACTCATCGGGTTGCTGAGAAATGGAACACTCTGAGAAAACGTTATTGAAGAGAAAGGACAATAAAAGAATAAAATTTTAAAAACAAAAGACAGAAGATGATAACTGACGTTGCAATTAAATTTAAAAATCATAATTGGCAGGAAAGAAAGAAACCGGAAGAGACATTCATAAACGAGAAGTGGAAGGTAAGAAACTGGTTGCATATAGCAGTTTCAAAGTGTAACATGATGAGACCTATGTGACAATCTAGTACTGCGCTTAAATTCGTGAAGTCGAGTTACCGAGAAGGAAAGCTGATTTGAACAAGTGGAAATTATTTATAAAAAAGGCACAGTGAAGCCACATTACAGTGGTGGGAATGTGACTGCATTCGTGATGGCAGAAGGAATAAATTAAGCTTTATGGATTTAAGAATTAAGAATTCTATATAAAAATGTAAAGTCATTGAGTAGTCTGAAGGAGGAAACATGGTGCAAAGTATCAAAGACAGGAGTTAGGAAAGTTAGGGGGAGAAAATACAACAAGTTTTGGACAATATATATATATATATATATATATATATATATATATATATATATATATATACAGTATGATTGGTGTATACGGAATAAATTCCAATCACCAACAATTACTATTCTTAAAAGATTTATTTTTGTAATGATTTTGTAACATATTTATGTTATAATTTTAAATAAATAATATATATATATATATATATATATATATATATATATATATATATATATTATTACAACTGTTATCCTGGTCTACATTGCCATATTCACAACTTTTCTGCCGTTGTACGCCACGGCCTTCTCTGGGTGATTGTAATTTCGAACCTAACCCAGTATTTCGTCCATCGGGTTGGATTGTTCTAGTTCCACGTGCCATGCCTTTTGCGAATCTCTCAGTTATTTCCCTCTTAACTCGACTCTCCACGTTTTTTGGTTCACCACTGCTGTAGCCTTGTATTGGACTCACAGCTCTTTGGGTCTAGTCACTGGACCTAACCAATGTTTTTATCCAATGGAGAGTTGAGTCAAAGGGAAATAACTGACACATCCGGAAGAGGTATGGCACGTGGAAGTAGAACAATCTTCACCGGTGGACAGAATAAAGGGTTCGGTTCGAAATTCCAATCACCTGGAGAAGTCCGGATCGTGCAACGGTCGAAACGTTGTGAATATGGCTATGGCGATGCGGATAATAGTCCGAATAATCTCATATATATATATATATATATATATATATATATATATATATATTTATATATATATATATCGTTTTTGCTAATTTATGAAAGAAGAGGGATCAGTATCTCAGAAAAAGTGTTTGCAAATATAAGAATCACAACATAGGAAGCAACAGAGCTTTTTGCCTGTCAGTTTCAGAAAATGTGTCCTCACTTTTTAGCGACCGTCCTGGGTAAGACTACGTCCGGCAGCAAGGAAACATCTAGAAAAAATATATAATGGTTATTGTCAAGGAGTCATGACTAACCAGCATGTACGAAATTGTTTTCGTTCTGGTCAAATGTTGTCGGAAGTCTGGTGCATTGATCGCATATATTAAAAGTTATTAGCGGAAAGCAGACCCCGAAAAACTACTCGAGAATCAGCAAAGAGAGTAAACATATAATAAAATATAAGATAGGAGAAGCTAGTTTCGCTGGGTGTTTGATGTCCACATGCATTTATCGTAAACCAAAAAAAAAAAAAATAAGCGGATCGTTGATAAACAAAAACGGAAATTATTTATGACTCAACCCAATAAAACAATTTATGTCAACGCAATAAAACTATTTATGCGTCAACGCAATAAAAACTGATAAATGCGTCTACGGGCGTTGGTGTCTTTTCAAATATTGCGAACGAGCTACACCCAAAAAACACTAACGAAATACAATGTTTGCCTCTCATGCCATAAAATAAAAGTAGCTTATGAAAGAGGAAAGCGCTCAAAAGACAATGGATGGTTAATGTTCAAATTCTCTCGGGAAACCAGAAAAACGATCCGAATCGTGGAAAATAAAAAAAAAAGAAAAGAGAAGTAAAGTCCTATTGTCGTTCATCAGTAAAACGGATAAAAAAGAAAAGATTGAATATATTCATGTCATCAGAATGGATTTTTAGTTCGTTCCAATTATAGATTTTAATTTAAATATATAATGAAATCAACCTGTGTAAGAGAGACAACTCTATACAGACAAAAGTTACAGACAATAAAGAAAAACAACTACTTGGTGTATTAAATGGAAAATATCAGGAATTATGAATTAACTTGTGAGTTTATTTGTTTTATGTGCCATGTCGAGATTAAAATATATGTATATATTATTATGTAGAATATATTTACATGTGATGTCCGATTTCTGAAAGTAAGACGTTATATAATTACTAAGGATGGAGATGAATTATTTTTCGCAGAGCTAGTTTTCTTTACAAGAGATCCGTAAAGCAGTTTCATCAAAACCTGCTTCATTAAGGAACCTACCCCAGAAAATAAAGCCAGAAGATAGATAGATACAGAGAGAGAAAGAGAGAAACAAAGAGAGGGGGAAAGGAGAATGGAAGATAGATTAACAGATTGGGATATATATATATATATATATATATATATATATATATAGAGAGAGAGAGAGAGAGAGAGAGGTGGAGAGAGAGAGAGAGAGAGAGAGAGATGAACAGATAAGCTAGAGAAACAGATAATGTTTCGCGATAAAATAGTTTGGTAATGTATCCGGTTCTGAACTATACAGCAACATTTTGTAGATAGATATATAGATATGAATATAGATAGATAGATAGATAGATAGATAATAAGGAGACTAATAGATATATAGATTTGAAAAGGCTGAGATATACAGATAGACAGATGGACAGATAGAAACAGATTGAGATAGATAGATAGATATATATATAGATAAATAGATAATACCAGATTGAGATAGATAGAAAGAAATAAACTGATAGAGATAGCAAGAACAAAATTAAATAAATAGTTCGATAGATAGATAGACAGAAAGAAAGAAAGATAGAAAGAAACTAATTAAGATATATTAGAACCAGATTTAGATAGATAGATTTTTTTACAGTAAGATTCACTCCATGCAAGGCCAGGGAGCCACTCGGGACAGAGCTAAGAGGCAATTAGTGCGAATAGGTCTGGAAGAAAATGGTTAACCCTTGACTTGGACAGGTTATGATTTTACTGATCAGGGAAACATCCTCACGGGAGTCGGTTCCACAGAGAAGTCGCTCGCGAGAAGAAGGTGTTCGAATGGAACTTCTCATCGATGAAGTACGGGGGAATATGGTTGGTTTAAACTTGTTACAATGTAAGTGACATGGCGTGTCCTCGCCGTGAAGTGTTGATAGATAGATAGATAGATAGATAGACAGACAGACAAACAGTGCATGCTCGTAATATATTTGATTTAAATTTAAATCAGCAATTCTTTTAAAATGGTTTGGTACATTTGTCATCTTCAGCTTTTAGATCCAGAGAAATTATTTCACTTGAATATCAAACGCTACTTTTGAAACAAATGTATTTGAAAATAAGTGTATTTTAACGGAAATAATTAAATTTCTTTATTTCTGTCAAAAGAAAAAGTTTAATTTTTTCTCACAATTTGTTCGGCAAAAAATGAAAAAAATGAGAAATCAAAAACAGATTAAATCGATTTCAAGATGAAATTCTCATTTATTTTAAATGGTGCGATCGAAGTCTTCAGAAACACATTAACCTGTCAGCCGGATGAATTGTCTCCCTTGCCCCTTTTAAGTCAGGTTTAATACAAGGAACACAAAATATACTGCTTGTAAAAAACAAATAGAAATATCTACACCAAATCTATCTATCTATCTATCTATCTATCTATCTATCTTTAAATAATAAGAAAGAACAGTAAGATTTACAATCCGGTGTTCTTAGTAATTATTTTTATTTTTAAAAATTAGTGCTCAATATAAACAGTAGAGCATAATATTATAATTATTTTCTATTTAAAAATATGATTCCATCGCTACCCAGGAATTACCATGTTCTAAAACTGAAACTTAAATTTTAAATTTAATTATAAAATTAAATTTTAAATCTATAGCTCCGTCCCATTCTCAAGCGATTTTGGGAATAACCTAATTCAATTCATAAGCGCAGACAATCTTAATATTTTAAGTTGGTAAGGTTACGGAATATTTTTCCGTAACCATAACAACTTAAAATTTTAGTTTCTGTTTTGAAACATGGTAATTCCTGTGTAGCAATGGGAGCATATTTTTAAAATAGAAAATAATTATAATATCTATCTATCTATCTATCTATCTATCTATCTGTTTCTCTAGCTATCTGTCTGTCTAGCTATCTATCTATCTCTCTCTCTCTCTATCTATCTATCTATCTATCTATCTGTCTGCCTAGCTATCTGTCTCTCTATCTATCTGTCTGCCTAGCTATCTGTCTCTCTATCTATCTATCTATCTATCTATCTGTCTGTCTGTCTGTCTAGCTATTTGTCTCTCTATCCCTCTGTCTCTCTATCTATCTATCTGTCTGTCTGTCTAGCTATCTGTCTCTCTATCTAGCTATCTATCTGTCTAGCTATCTGTCTAGCTATCTATCTATCTATCTATCTATCTATCTCAGTCTGTTCATATCTATCAATCTATCAACCCTTCACGGCAAGGACACATCATGTCACTTACATTGTAGCAAGTTTAAACCACATACATTCCCTCTGTGAAACCGACTCCCATTAGGGTGTTTCCCTGATCACTACAATTTTAAACCGTTCAAGGTTAGGGTTAACTATTTTCTTCCACTCCTATTCGCACGAATTGCCTCCTAAATTAAATGCCTACTCCGAGTGGCCCCCGTGTAAGAGTGGCCCCCGTAAAGAGTGAAACCTACTGTAAGAAAAATCCATCTCAGTGTTGTCATATCTATGTTTAATATTATGTCTATGTGTGTACGTCTCTATACACATGCTCTTCAATTGTAGGACGTCCTTAAAGTATAATTAATGTATGTTCTACCGAAAGAAAATTAAATACGAAATTAAAATAAATTTTATCGCAGAGTAAAACATTTGAAATATTGATCAAACTATTGATCGCATGAGCCATGTGTGATTTCAATTCTCTTTCTCTATCTCTCTCTCTAGGTATGTATGTATGTATGTATCTATCTATCTATCTCGCTAGCTGTATATGCAAATGTCTGTAAAATATAAAAATATCTTGATATAAATCCATTTACACGTAAAGGTGTTTCTCTATATGCGAACAAGATTACATCTATCATTACACCATCGAGCGTGTCTGTGTGTATACAGATGTAAAATCACTTTGAGCTTTTCTAGCATAAATTTAAATGGTTCTAGATGTATTTCTGAGCCTTTCTTTGAAACCAATGGGAGGAACGAATCGTCTTAAATAAAACATATCAATATGTCTTTTTTTTTTCCTGTAGCGTGAGATCGAACACCGATCCTTTCATGCAGTAGGAAACATTTAATAAACAAATATTCTCTCTAATAATTAAACGGGAAGTCTACCCCAATACTAGTATCCACTAAAAATAAAGTTGAAAGTGATTTAAAAAAAAATGTCGAATTAATTAAAAAATAATTTTAAGTCTATCTGTTTGCGTTTGGATACGATATGAAAAAAAAAAAAAACAACTTTGGGAGATCTATGACAGGAGAAATTTCCACGGGCCTGTCCGATAGCTCTTCTTGGCCACGACGGTATGGCGTGCCAGGCTAAATAGTAGTCCCCTCTGCTAGAGGAATGCAGGTTTAATTCCTGCTGGAAAGCACAAATTATTCCGAAGTAAAATTTCTCGTACATTCAGGCTGTTAGACGAAAATAAATAAATATACTTTTTAATAAATAAACATTACGCCTCCTTATTAGTGTTAACGGCTACTAGTAACATAACACACACGCAAAAATACACACTCACACACACACCTATTTTATTTTTATTGATTAGAAAAATACTTCCTTATGGTAAAGAATAAAAGCAAGACAAAAAGAAGAGGGAAAGAGTAGTAGTAAGAGGAAGAGGAAAGAGAGAGAAAGAGAGAGAGGGTAAACGAAGCATAAAATGAGGGAGAATGAAAAGAAAAGACGAAGAAAGAGAGCGAGAAAGAAAGAAGAGGAGAAATGTGGCCAACCTTCATAAGGCCTTGTGTGAGGGAGGTGATTTAAAGAATGAAAAAAAAAAAAAGAAAAAAAAAAAAAAGAATGTTATGGATATACAATATATATATATATATATATATATATATATATATATATATATATATATAAATTTATTTAGAATTAAATCCTAATACTGTTTCATTTTCAAGCGAATTTTGGAATAATTAAATTTGAAGTTTTTAGTTTCTAGTTTGAAACATGGTAATTCTTGTGTAACGATGGAACCATATTTTTAAATTAGTATATTTATAATCTTTATGCTCTGCAGAATTGTACTGAGCACTGATTTTAAAAATAAAATTAATTAATAAGAACACCGGATATGTATTACTGTTCTTTCTCTTTATTTTAATATATATATATATATATATATATATATATATATATATATATATATATAAGAAAAAGAAAAGGAGGCAGGGAAGAAAGAAAACTGACTTTTAGAGAGAGATGATGAGAAAGACGGAGAAGAAAAAAGAAAAAGGATGAGGAGAAGGAAGAAGAACAGGATGAAGTAGGAGGAGGAAGAAGAGAATGAGTAGTAGTAGTAGTAGGAAGACGAGAAGGAAGAGGAGGTTAAGAAGAAAGATGAGTAAGAGGAGAAAGGAGAAGGTGGACTAGTAGGAGGGGGAGGAAGAAGGAGAAAGTAAACGGGAAAGAAAATTCACTTATTGTTTTAAAAAAAACCAAGAAAAATGAAAGACGAAGGTATACGGGGACAGGAAGGCATGAACCGAAAAGGAAGAATCAAAAGAATAAGAAGAGGGGGGGAAGTAAATAGCGACGAAGGAGAATAACAAGAAAGCAAAACAATCAAAGAACAGAATGTGTCTAATGATAGAAGAAGAAAAAAATAGTCAAAAGAAATCAGTTTTTATATATTTCCAACGTGTACAAAAAGGTGGAATAATTTTCAAGCGTTTAATTCTTTTAAAGAATCTTAATACACAACGAACATCACAAAACAGTTAAGGCAAAACAGGTAAAGTTTAATTCCTGTTGCACTCTGTAAAGGTTAATTTAAAAACAAAAAAACAATATTTGTCCAGTTCACCCTCTTGAAAGAGAATAGATACATTGTAGTAAGCCATTTTACAAAAATAATATAGACACTAGAAACTTTTGATATAAAATAAATCAGCCAGGGCCTTAATTTGGAAACTATTACTTTTTATTTATAAAGAAAAAAATATATATTCAAATGTCTGTCAGTCTTCCTTCAATTTGTAGAAATATTTTGTATAATTATAATTGGCAATACTTCATCCAAAAAGATGAAAATCAAAGTAAATACTCATCGAAAATGATTAATAATGGCCGACAAGGCTTTCTCTAATAAAAAAATAAAGAAAATGGAAGTATATATAAGTTGTTAAAATTTGAAAACAGTATTAAAGAATACTTTTGAATTGTTTACTTTGGAGATTTGATCTCTGGTAGCTGAAACCGCAGGAAAGCAAAACCGTTTATATCGAGGACAGCTACAATATCTACTTAAAACGAAATTATTCATACACACACAAAATACAGAAAACAGAAATATCTTCATACAACCAAAATATGATATCAAATTTAATAAAAAGCAAACAAAACTTTTAATGAAACAATTACTGTTTGATGCACCTCAGAAACTACTAAGAAATACATATTCATTAATCGTTAAAATTCGTTACAAGAATCCGAAAGGCAGACGAACGCGCACGTGCACGCGCATGCGCACTTATTATCCTATTTCTCATACGCTTTATCCTCTGTTTAACGATTGCAATTGGACTAACATCCTTATCTTATTGATTTAGCAGAACGGGATTATAGTGGCCTAAGCGATATGCTAAAAACAATACAATGCTAATCCTAAACTTATTGATAAATATCAATAATATATTGCCTCAAATTTCCTCCTCTACTAGTGTGTGTGTGTTTATGTGCCCTAGACAAACCTAAGACTGCAGTACATATGGTGACTCTGTAACAGAGTAACATATGGGTTACAGAACATGTTATGATCGTGATGACTACATATACAAACACATAAAATACAAAAAGTTATAACTATGAAACCCTATCCTTATCCACGTTTTATGACGGTGCGTCTTACAATGCAAACGACTCTGTAAAAGACTTCAGACACCCAAAAACAGGCACAACTTACTTGCTTATATTTTTTGCCTAGTGCAGACCGGACTTACATCTAATTTCATTCATTGTG